GGGCCCTGCAGGGGCCCTGCTGCTGGGCGGGCGGCCCAGAAGCAGGAAGGGGAGGAGCAGGGAGGCGGGCACACTGGGAGCCCGCGGCAGGTCACCCAGCCCTCCTGAGCCACGGTTTTCTCACCTCTACGAAGGAGGCGAAGATGTCCACTTTCAGCCTGCGGAGAAATCAGGGTAAGGGGCGCCTTCCAGAGTGACGTCACTGGCGGGCCGCGGCCCAGTGTGCCAGCCCTGCTCACGGCACTTCAGCTCTTCTTTTCTGGACGGTGGGGAGCAGCAGGGTGGGCTGGAGGGCCCACTGGGCCTGCTGCTGACCCTTGACCTCCACGAGTTCCTGCTCTGGCTGGCAACAGTGTTGGTTCAGAGAAAGGGTCCTGGGTCCCTGAAAACTTGGGGTATTTCTTGTCCCCAGTGCACGCTCATCCTGGTAAAGCCTTAAGGGGAAGAGCGATAGTGCAGATGGTCCCCAACTAGCATGCCTCAACCTTGTGATTAGTCAACTTAGTGGAGTATTGATTTTGCCATGGTGTGAAACAGTAGAAACCGCCCTTCGAGGACCACACACCCATTCTGATTTTCGCATTATTACAGTAGCCAATAAATACATGCAGTATCTGACCTTTTATTAAAAATAGGCTGTGTTCGATGTCTAGCCCAAGTGCAGCTAAGTCAGTGATCTGAGCACTTTCATCCTTTCCTTTTTTATTTCTTTTGGCCATAGGGTGCGTGCGCTCACCAGAGACAGAGACTGAAAATGAGAAAGCACCTCCCTGGGGGGATGGCCAGGAAGCAATCCTGTCCTCCATTCTCCTCTGGGGATCTTGGGAATACATATGCACCTGGTGTGATTTTCAAGGCACTAGGTCTGGGACTCGAACCTTGCAGTCACCCATGTGGGATCCAGAGCCTTAACCTCTGAGCCATCTGCTGGCCCCTGAGTATGTCTGAGGGTGCCAGGCTAAGCCGTGTTATTGAGTAGGTTAGGTGTGCTAAGTGCGTTTTCAGCTTATGCTGAGTATATCAGGATGTGACCCCTTTGTTAGCTGAGGAGCAGCCGTATGTTAAAACTTTTTACTTGGCAAAGAGATGTCAGTGTCCCCTGATACTGTTCATCCAGTGTCCCCTCTGTGCACACGCAGTGCATTTATCAGATCTGAGAAATTAACGTGGTACAGGCTGTTAGCTCGGGCACACACTCGGTGAATACATATGCACCTGGTGTGATTTTCAAGGCACTAGGTCTGGGACTCGAACCTTGCAGTCACCCATGTGGGATCCAGAGCCTTAACCTCTGAGCCATCTGCTGGCCCCTGAGTATGTCTGAGGGTGCCAGGCTAAGCCGTGTTATTGAGTAGGTTAGGTGTGCTAAGTGCGTTTTCAGCTTATGCTGAGTATATCAGGATGTGACCCCTTTGTTAGCTGAGGAGCAGCCGTATGTTAAAACTTTTTACTTGGCAAAGAGATGTCAGTGTCCCCTGATACTGTTCATCCAGTGTCCCCTCTGTGCACACGCAGTGCATTTATCAGATCTGAGAAATTAACGTGGTACAGGCTGTTAGCTCGGGCACACACTCGGTAGCATTTCCCTGGCTTTTCCACTACGTTGGATTCTGGAGGTGTCCTGAAGGCAGAGTCAAAATGGGCTTCTGATTGGGCAGCCTTTTGGTCTTGGCAATCGAGGGACAGGAGAGGTGCCATTGCTCGAGAAGGGAAAGGTCTAGGGCGTGAAAAGCTGGTCGGTTTTGACTTTGAACTTGAGACACCAGCCAAGTGGTCATACTAAATAAGCGGGGAGAGGTCTGGCTTGGAAGGAAAATTGCAGCTACACTTAAGCGGCCATCCACCCCCACATCTGGACTTAAGAAGATTTTAGGGAACACTTAATCCGCCCTGAATCTGGAGGATGAGGACAGTGATTGTCAGGCAGGGAGGCAGCCCCTGAGACACCTCCCTGGCCTTTCCCCAGCGGGCATGCCCGAGTGCCTGAGGCAGGGCAACACCCAGGACAGTGAGGGCAGGAGGAGGAGGCGGGTAGAAGCTGGCGGGCGAGTAGCATGGCACGCCCTGGCTCGCACACTCGCAGGTGCACACGGATGCCCGCCCCCCTTTCTCTGCCAGGCAGACGCTGAGCTCCAAAGACCACCCCCCAGCTTCCCAGCCCCTGCAAACCCTGACTTCGGCGCATTCTTCACCCCGGTCCACCGCGCTGCCCAGATTTATTTCTGTGCTTTCTCGCAGCTGCCCACGTGCTTGTTTTGTGCAGCAATCTTGTCTAATTCATCTCGGGGCCGTAGTAAGCCCCAGGCCTGCCTGGCCCCTCACAGACACTGAGTGGATGTTGAGGAAATGAGCATGCACGCCTTCCTAGGAGCCGCTAACCGGGAAGGAGCAGAGGCAGGCAAGGAAGTGCAGACCCTGAGAGGCCCTGTCTGACAGCAGAACAGCCGATACTTAGCAGGACGTGCGACAGGTGCGCGTGTGAACCGGAAAGCTCTCAGTCCCCTCAGCCACGATCAGCAGCTGCACCACTATCCCAGGGAGGCCGCCAGGACTCAGGGATCTGCCTTTGCCACAGGATGCCCGGCCACTCCTCTCCTGTGCTGTTCCCAGAGAGGCAGCAGCCTGGGCACCTAACGCAGCAGGACAAGAGGACCTTCTGGAAGGCATTGTTGGTGGAGCGCCAACGCATTGCTGCTTCTGAATCCAGGGACCTCTGCTCCAGGAAGGCATAGCCCCTTGGATGTCTGAGAGTGTCCGGCTCCTCGGGGCTGGAGGCTGCTCTGCACAGTCCCTGGCTTGCCCCTGTGACATTGGCAGCCGCCCCTGTGCCAGGGGCAGCCGGTCGAGCTCTGCACATACCCTGGCAGCCAGGTCTCTAAGACTGGGTATGGCAGTTCTAGGTCGTTCCGGGGTTCCTCCCTCAATATGCACACACACACACATGCATGTGAACACACGCATGTGCACACACACACATGCACACACACACACACATGCAGTAAGTGGCAGCATGGCAGATGTGGCCACTGCGATTGCATGGCGGTGGCGGCGGGCTCTGCAGCTCTTCACTCCCAGGGGAGCTGGGAGGCCCTGCGGTTTGCAGCGAGGTGTGGAGAATGGAGAAGGCTCCGCGGTGTTAATGACAGCAACCCGCACTCCCCGAGCAGCGCGTGCGAACTCGATCGCTCTTTAATTATCTGGAATTAAAGTGCTGTGCTCACCCTCTTCATGTTATGGTGGAGGAAATCAGGGCATCCATTAATTACCTGATCCATATGTAAAGTGTCACACATAATTTTTCCAGAGCAAAGGGTCCTTGCCCCTAGACCTGCATCATCTCTTAATAACGACGCGGAGTGAAGGCAGAGAGGACCCGGTCTTGGGAAGAAGACCCGGAGCCTGAATCTCGCCGAGGCCAGGGTGCAGGGGTGCCGAAGGCCTCCCCCAGGATCTCTGCGCACCAGTTCTTGCAGATGAAAGGGAGTGAAAGGTTCTGAGGCAGAATTAGCAGTCCGCTAGAGAGCTGTTCTCCTCCCGTCGGGGCCTGTGAGATGGAGAAGTGGGTAGGCAGTAGGAACAGCACGCAGAGCATGTTTAAGCTGCAGCATGAAAGGCCTGGGTTAGGGAGAAGGAGGATTTCGTTCAACTTTCTCCTGAAGCAGGTGTTTCCTGACCAAGCTGGGGAAGAGTTCTCCTTTGGGAGGATCTCTGCTCTAGGGACCAGACAAAAGGCCAGATGGTACTGAGGTCACACTGACCGTCAGCTTCAGAGACGTGCCCAGGCACGCTGAGGGTAGGGGACAAGAGGAGAGAGGCAGAGGGGCAGAGGCAGCTGCAGGTACTGTTTTACACTGCACCGGCATTTCTGCCAACTGAAAGTCGCATGGCCGGTCCCAGGTCCCCCGCAACACAGCCACCTCCCAGGTGCTTCCCGAAGGGCTTGACGAGCTCACCCTGGGCGTTGGGAAGGTTGCTAGTGATACCTCCCCAGCTGGGTTTCCTTCCGGTCTGAAGTGGGGGTGCCCCAGTCTGGAAGCAAAGCTGTGGGGGGCGGGGGCAGTGATTAAGTGGTGAGCAGCCCATCTGCAGCCCCAGAGCCCTCCCACATGCACCCTCCGACCCCCTCTCACAGCTGCCTCTGGTGGGTCCTATCCTTCCCTACCCCCATTTTACAGATGAGGAGACTGAGGCCAGGGCCACAAGGCAGAGCTGGTCCCAGCACCAAACTGCTGTCCAGGCTGTCACCCACCAAAAGCACAGCTGCCCATCAAGTATGGGGGAGGCAGCTTGCTGGTCTTTCTAAGTCATCTCTTGTCCCTGTTTTAGTCTCTTGGAGGTTCTGACCCACTCAGACACCACAGCTGGCTCCCAGAAAACAGGGCTGTTGGTGTCCCCATATTTCCCTCCTGCCTGCTGACCCAGGCCCCAGTGAGAGGAAGAAAAAGAGAAGGTGCCATCCCTTCCTCCACCTCTCCTGTCGCTGAAGCCAGCCACAGGCAGGACAGAACGCGCAGCCCAGCCCTACA